TGAAACAAATTCTATTTAGGCTCACAGCTCACTGCTGTTCTAATGGAGAGAGAGAGAATCATTTAGTAGAGGTTAGACTACAGTCCTGCTGTACAAAGTGTTGACAGGAAGAGGAATCATTTGGCAGTAGTTTGATCATGAAATATGTAGTGTTGCCAAGCTTAGCTCTCTTGTTATGCTTTAGCACATCTGGAGCTTTCCTAACTCTGGCAGGAACATGGTAAATTGCACTTTAAAAAGTGAAACGGTGCAGTTGTTGCTTTATAGAGCTTCTCCTTCCTGACCTGACCCTTAAAAATTACTTCTTCTTTTTTTGGTGTAACCCAATAAGTCAAGGTTTGCCTGGTTAGCATGGCCTTCTAACTCTGGGTGGTAGATGATATACTTGGAAATATAGCTGCATGAAAACATTAACTTTAAAGGGGTCATAGGATGCCCATAGTGAGGTGGATTACGGGTAAGGTTAGGGACAGGTTTGGTGGTATGGGTAGGTTTAAGGGTGCGTTAAGGTGTAAGGGGTGGGTCAACAGTGTAATTATAAATGTAATTACAGAAATTAATTACAGATGTAATTACATGCAGGTATTTAAAAAAATATATAAGTACAAAATGTAAAAACATGTATACATACAATAAGTTCATTGTATCAAATGATTAATTTAAATGGAAGTACATAGTAGTTGAGGCTGCCTAATATAAGGTGGGACCAAAGCAACAATCCATTTGGCAATCCATGCCTTTCTAAACAGCTTTACAGAATTGTGTTTTAATGTCTGTTATACAGAACTAACATTTGATAAAACTCACTAATCAACACCTCTGAAGGATTGTTCCTGCAAATGCTCAAAAATAGTTCAGACATCATGTATTACACATTTGAATATTCATAATTTTTTCATTGCTTTGTTATCCAGATGGAGGAGACATGCTTTCATACCATAGTTTTTCCATTCAGAGAATATGGCAAAACTTAAGGTTAATTTAACAGTGTTGTAGCTGAGATCAGTTCATTCTAATCCAAGTCTAGACCAAGACCTGAGAAGGCTTGAAGTCTGATTCAAGGCTGAGACAAGAAGAGGGTCAAGTCTGAGACAGTTTAGCTGTAGTTTATGCATAAATGGGAAGGTAATGTAGATTGGCTTAAAAGCTGTCACGATTCGCTGCTACTGTGTCGGATACGAAGGAGCGCGGAGACGACGGAGATTAACCATCAACAGTCTTTATACATCCAAATAAAGAGGTACACGGAGCAGGCAGGAACACACATGTAGCACGAGGGGTAGACGTACAATACCGGACGCTGGACATGGAAAAACACAGGGCTTAAGAAACATGGAACTAATTGGGACACACCTGAAATCAATTAACATAATTGACACGAGGGAGAAACTAGGTCATGGGGAGAACATGGGGAACAAAACACAAGACATAGGAACACAGGACTGACATTACTCCCCCCTCCCGGAAGGCGCGTCCACGCCGGGTGTGCCTCACACATCCTGAAAAGTGAAGCTGCAGGCTCTTTGATCGCCCCCTGGTGGCTGGCTGCAGTACAGGTCATAAACCCCGCTCTCTCCATGTAAACTAATGGGACTTGAGTCAAAATAAAAAAATTAATTACACTTCCAATACAATTTTCCGAAAGATGGTTTTGGTCATTTAAGGTAGTTGTTATCACGCTGATACATGTTCAAATGTTCGTTTTTTTTTGATAAGTTTGATTTTAGCTAGTAATTTGATGCTATAAAAACGGGGTGTGTCGTTACGGTTGATCGGGTCTGCGGGAGTTTGGGCGGGAGTTTGATACCGCGGCTCCACCTTACGACACTACTGCGCAGACTCTGGCTCCAAACGAATCTCTACTGCGCAGACTCGGGCTCCAAATGACGTCATTTACTCAAGATGGCAGCGGCCATATTGAGATGCTTTGGCTTCACTTTTCTATAGTGGAAGGAATAGGAGACGCGTCGTCTATCTTTTTTTACGGTCTATGGTCCACGCCCCACACAACATCCAATGGGGAGGGGGGGTGGGCGCTCTGGAGGCCCTTCAGGACAGGCTTACACAGGACGGCAGGCCTCCAGAGCAGTACCCGTTCCGGAACCCATGGCGGATCAGGCAGTTCAGGGCGCCATGATGGAGCAGGGAGCTCAAGGCGCCATGGCGGATCAGGCAGACTAGGGAGCAATGGCGGAGCAGGCAGTCTAGGGAGCCATGGCAGAGCAGGCAGACTAGGGAGCCATAGTGGAGCAGGCAGACTAGGGAGCCATGGCAGCTCAGGCAGTCCAGGAAGCCATGATGGAGCAGGGAGCTCAAGGCGCCATGGCGGATCAGGCAGACTAGGGAGCAATGGCGGAGCAGGCAGTCTAGGGAGCCATGGCAGAGCAGGCAGACTAGGGAGCCATAGTGGAGCAGGCAGACTAGGGAGCCATGGCGGCTTAGGCAGTCCAGGAAGCCATGACGGAGCAGGGAGCTCAGGGGGCCATGGCGGAGGCATGCAGTCCAGGGAGCCATGGCGGCGCAGGGAGCCATGGCGGCGCAGGGAGCTCAGGGGACCATAGCGGAGCATGCAGTCCACGGAGCCATGGCGGCGCAGGGAGCTCAGGGGCCCATAGCGGAGCGGCCTCCGTGGCCTTGGTATTCGGCCCGGCCTCTACAGCTGGATCCCTATAACAGATTTCAGCTCCTGAGGCCATCCATGGGCCTGACGCAGGACCAGCGACCCTCTCTGGGCCAGACTTAGGAACAGGAGTCTTCTCTGGGCTTAACTCGGGAACAGGAACCCTCTCTGGGCTTAACTTCGGAATAGGAACCCTCCTTGGGCTGGACGTGGTGACTGGAGCCCTCCTTGGGCTGAACGTGGGAACTGGAGCACTTTCCGGAGTGGACTCAGGGGCTGGAGCCGACACTGGAGGGGACTCAAGGGCTGGAGCCGACAGCCTTTTCCTCCTCATATTCCTCCTTTGATTTAGGGTTAAGGAGTGGGTGCTGTCAGCTGAGGGCTTGGGAGAGAATTGGTTGGCGGTCTTGACAATGGAACGGCCGGTGGGCCTGACTTCGGAGCGGCCGGCGGGCATGACAATGGAATAGCCGGCGGGCATGACTTCAGAGCGGCCGGCGGGCTTGGTTTTGAAGCGGCCGGCGAACGTGACAATGGAGCGGCCAGCGGACTTGAGGAGCGGCTGGCGGACTTGAGAGTGCAGTGGCCGGCGGACTTGATGGAGGAGCGGTTCTGGATCGGGGCCGGACGCTCTCCAGACACCGGAGGATACCTTCCCTCCAGCTCAGCCCTGTGGTGTCTGGGAGGTCCACGGGCGATAGCAATTGGCCCCAATCCAAAACAGAGAATTGATGGTGGCATCGTCCAACGTCGTCGCCGTGGCGAGCCCGCAGAATTCCCGGGCATACTCAATGAAAGGGAGATTCCTGCGGACTAGAGCGGAGAACCGAGCGGCTATTTCCATGGCCGCGGGGAGAAACAGGAAACCAAAAGACTTTCAAAACACGAAAAAGAAAACAGGGAGAAGGGGCGCCGCTTACGCTATTGTTTTGGGTCCGGTATTCTGTCACAATTCGCTGCTACTGTGTCGGATACGAAGGAGCGTGGAGACGAAGGAGATTAACCATCAACAGTCTTTATTCATCCAAATAAAGAGGTACACGGAACAGGCAGGAACACACACGTAGCACGAGGGTTAGACGTACAATACCGGACACTGGACATTAGGGGTGGGAGAAAAAAATCGATCCATCGATGCATCGCGATTCTCTCTCCAACGATTCTGAGAATTTCAGAATCGGTTCTGAGCTTAGTTTTTAACCAGATGCGCGATGAGGCTGAGTTTGCTTTAGAAACACCCATATTCTGCTTGCTTCCAATTCCTCACACACATACACCACTCGAACCTTTCCGTAAAATAATCTTTCATAAAGTTCGGAAAGGTTGAAGACGCTGAGTTTGCTTTAGAAACACCCGTATTCTGCTTGCTTCCAATTCCTCACACACATACACCACTCGAACCTTTCCGTAAAATAATCTTTCATAAAGTTCGGAAAGGTTGAAGCGAATTACAAGGACATTCGCGGGCTTCATTGCACCGGATGCGCTGTGAGAGACGCGCGCTTTGTTTGATGTTACACGAAGTGTGCAGTCTTGCCCGTCAGTATTTTCCTTACAAATGCTCTACGAACTCATCATTTATGTGGTTTGGAAAGCAGTGGACATATATTTAAAATATGAACCTCACTAACAGAAGGCTGCTTTCAATTTCAAATGATGCGCACTTTGTGAAGACTGCTCGCACATGCGGCTGTGCGCGTCTCCGTGTAAGTGGTTTAATGCACTTGCATCTCAAAATGGTTTTATGACGCAAAATTAATGTAAACGCAGCCAGTTATGTCTTAAGGGATTAAACGGACAGGACAAACCACATTACTTATATTTCAAAAGAGATCCGTGCGTGAATGCAGCTTAATAGATCTCCCGCTGTCTATGATGTCATAGTAAAAAACAACAGTAAAGATTAAGAAAAATCACTCACAGTTCTTGAATAGAAAATGTTCAGATAATCTTAAATACTGAAAGCACTCTTTGTTTGTTGTTTGTAATATGTTTCTATGTCCCTCTTTATTATTTGCTACTTGCTTGCATGTTTTGAAGTTATATTAGTTTAAAATTCTTAACATACAACTGTTTTAATTATTTTTTTCAATTTGTAATTATTTTTAAAAGTACTTAATTACTTATTTAAGGATATGTAAATGTAAGGATTTTAAGATTCTCAAGTCGGTAAACTAATTAATATGGGGGAAAAAAGTAGATCAAGAATCGTTCTGGAATCGGATCGTGACTCCCAGAATCTGAATCGGATCGTGAGGTGACTAAAGATTCCCACCCCTACTGAACACAGGACTGACAAAAGCATGCATACATTCTCCACCCACTTCACATTCTAATGTTTTAGTTAGTTAGTTAACAACTTTATTAATCCCCCCAGTTTTATAATGTCTTTTTCTCCCTTCTCTCACTGTTTTTTTTTTACCTCTCTCTTTTTGTCATTTCCATTCCTCCATCTTTCCAGTTTCCTGCAGCCATAGGATCTGAATCATTTATGAAGCGCATCATTAAGAATGCACAATTTTGTTCTTTTTGTGGTAGAAACTTAAATAAACGTGGTGGTGCAGAAAACTTGCTGAGGAAAAACACATGAACATACATAAATATACATTATAAAGAATACACATACATAGATTATACTGTATAGTATAATCACTGTAGTGTTGTGACAACATAAGCTGTCTTTTTTGATTTTTAAAAAGAGGGTTTTGAAGGTTTGAGTGCGAGTTAAAAAATATGGCTTTAGGGGATTTTCGCAATCCATACTTATGTTTACTGTAAAAATTTTACTACATAATGTATTCCATGTATGTCTTGTCTCCATCTAAATGGGTGAAAACTCAAGAAATCATAAAAATGAAGCCTATTTTTATGGCCATTAAGATTTTATGCATTGTGACATTATATTCAGTACAGTTGAGCACATTCACAATTACACACATCTACAGTAATGGATTTTTTATACATTTGAACATTATTGCACAATTCTGAGTAAACATCATTACAGTATTTATTGTACTGAATTTAATTTAAGCTGATATGAAAATGGAAATGCTTATTGTCATAAAATTAAATATTTTTTAAATAAAAAAATCTTATTGGTCCTACAGATAGACCTATTTATTTATGCAAAATATATTTTTTATTTTATTCTTTTGATTCTGATATATTTCTGAGATTCATTTAATTATTTTTAATTATGTTTCAATTTACATTATTTTTCATGCAAATAATTCATCAGATGTGAATCTACTAGGCCACATCAGAGTAGCTGAATGTTTTTCCTTTGCTGTCCAAACTAGATGAGCGAGAGGCTGTCCAGAAGAAGACCTTCACAAAATGGGTGAATTCAATATTAGCCAGAGTCAGCTGCCGAATCTCAGATCTCTATCTAGACCTTCGGGATGGGAGAATGCTCATCAAACTACTGGAGGTTCTGTCAGGGGAGAGACTGGTGAGTGTAATGTGTTGAATGTGTAACAGTGTCAAGCCTAGATTTGTCCACACCATGATACGAGAATTAAATGTCATTTACTGAAGTCATTCCACTAATATCTTTGACTCTACATCTTTTTCCACCATTCAGCCCAAGCCAACCAAGGGCCGAATGCGCATCCACTGTCTTGAGAATGTGGACAAAGCTTTACAGTTTCTAAAGGAACAGAGGGTGCACTTAGAGAACATGGGATCACATGATATTGTAGATGGGAACCACCGGCTCATCCTAGGCCTTATCTGGACCATCATTCTTCGTTTCCAGGTCAGCCCATTATTCTATACTTTTTTGACCAATCTATTCATTCTGTGCCTCTAACTATAATTTAAACCAAACAATAAGGAATAAGAAAAGTTTAGATATTAAAAACTAAAATAAAACATTTTCAAGCTATAAAACACAGAACAAACCTTCTGATATTACAGTGGACCTACAGCAGAGTTTTTGTACTGTGTCTTTGGCTGATAAGAAAAGCTAACATTTATTTGGCTGATTGGGAAAAGCTTTTATTTATTTTTACATCTCTCATTTTGATAGCTGGATATTTTTAGCCCAGCTACTTCAAACACTGTAGTCTGCTACATAATTCAGACCCTCAAAAATGAAAGGAAAAAGACCGGAATGGGAATTGTTGACTGCTCTTTATTCTGTCTGCTTCCCACAGCGATGTGCAAACTATTAAGACATAAAACGTCAGAATCTAAATAAAGTAACAATGCCTCTGCATATCCAAGAATGGATGCTCAAGGGCAACTTACAGTAGCTCTTCTAATTAATGTGAGATTTAGAGTACATGAAATGTCAACCGATATGAAAATTTACTGCCAGGGCCGGACTGGGACGCAATTTCAGACCGTGAAATCTTACACTCATCCAGGCCACACAGAAAAAAAAGAGGCCAAAATGGTACCTTTTGGGGTACAACAGCTTGTCACTGGAGCAGTACCCTTAAAAGAACATCTTTGTACCTTTTTTTCCCCTAATAGGTACATATTTGTACCTTACAGTAATTTGTACACATAAGGTACTAATATATACCTATTAGGGGTAAAAGGCAAAAAGATGTCTTTTTTAAGGGTACTGCTCCAGTGACAAGCTGTTGTACCCCAAAAGTTACCTTTTTTGCCTCTTTTTTTCTGTATATAGCCTATTGACCCACTACAAATTCTGAAACCACAGATAACCCTATTATTTAAATGGCCATCACATAAAAAGGTCTAAATCATTGGTCTGGGGCCGTGAAAAATAATTAAAGGTTGTCTCTTGAACTGCACCTTCACTTCTCTTTTTACTTTTCTTCATTTTCCCAGATATCTCTGTCTCTCCCTTTTTTATTGTACCTGTCACTTCTTGACCAGCAGGTCTACTGTTATGAACAGAACTGTGTCCACCTTGTTGCAAATCGACCACCTCATTGCAATTTGTTATCACAGAATGTTATCTTAAAATGACTTAAATACCCGATATTTAACAAACCTATATTTCCAACACATACATGTGAATATCTGTCTGCTAAATTTATTAATGTAACTTTCCAATCGATAATGATGTCCTTTAGAACAGTATTCTGAATGATGTTAAAAATAGGGTGCCCCTGATAGCCTAACAGGTGCTAGCAGTTTAATACTCAACTAGGTTAATAAAGACTCTTTAGCATATTTACAGATGAAACTGACCTGCACCTAAAGCCCTGAACAGGCATTTTTGCTACATTTCGCTCCTTCTTCTGGTCGCTTCCTCTCCTTCATCGAGGCCCACGCATCGACTCTGTTTGAAACCGTCGTTTGAAGCGTGGAACAGACGTGAGATGATTTGTATAGCGCAGCGCTGCCAGTCAAGACTAATCGATTTATGATTTATTATCGATTTATTATCGTATGACAAAATCGGAAATGATCACTTTGGTACATTGAGAAGACAAAAATATAAAATATTAATAAAAATAATAACTAAAAAAAAAAAAAAACCAGGGCAGCGGGCCAAATCAGCCACCTGGCCACCGGGAATTTGCCCGGTGCTCCCGATGGCCAGTCCGGGCCTGTTTACTGCTTTTAAATGCTTAAAATCAAAAGGAATGTCTAGTTGACAGAAATACAATAAGAGTTCCAGAAAGAGGTATGAATATAGTTTAAATGCACATGTGGGATTTATTTCAGTTTATGTAATTTTTTTTTCCTTATACAGATTCAAGACATTATAGTAGAGACAGGACAAGCTGACCAGACAGGCCGGCAAGAGACCCGCTCGGCCAAAGATGCACTGCTCCTCTGGTGCCAGATGAAGACCGCAGGGTAGGACAACAGTTGTCATACTTCAGTAGTAATGAAGCTGACAGCAAATCCTCTATTTTTATGAGAAATCTGTGGTTGCAGATTTGTCTGATGTCGTTTTGTCTCTGCAGGTACCCCAATGTAAACATCACCAATTTCACCACAAGCTGGAAAGATGGCATGGCTTTCAACGCTCTCATTCACAAACACAGGTGATAAGTAAAAAAAATATAATAATAATAACATTTAAAAAAAATATATATATTAAGACAAAAGATAGCTTGTGGGTATATTGTTTAGTGGTTAGGAGACATGCATTGATACACTGAGCAGATGTGCTCATATGGATAACAATTGTCTCTTCTAGACACCACTGAGATTAAATGGAGAGAGACTCTAGACCTTTTCTAGACCTACTCTAGACCATCTCATATTTCCTAGATTTCCCTAAGAATTTAGATTAGATTTCTTAGAATCTCTAGCAACCACTGAGAAATGAAACTTATCCTGTTCCTCTTCATACTATCCTATCAATAAAAAATAGATGTAAACAAAATAACCTCTTCATTTCACTCTATCAGGCCAGATCTGGTGGACTATGGCAATCTACGGAGGTCCAATCCCACTCACAACCTTCAGCAGGCCTTTAATGTAGCTGAAAAAAAGCTTGGTGTCACCAAGCTCCTGGACCCAGAAGGCAAGTAACCCCTGCTGACTATTAAGCCAAACATATAATACTTATCCTCCATCCTATAGAGAATACATCTTTATATTGTATTGTTTGCAGATGTATTCACTGAGAACCCAGATGAGAAGTCCATAATCACATACGTTGTTGCATTTTACCACTACTTCTCCAAGATGAAAGCTTTGGCAGTTGAGGGCAAGCGAGTTGGCAAGGTGCAAAATTTGTGCTAGTCCGCTCCCATGTGAATTTTATGTGTTTAATGCAAGAGGACATTTTAATTGACCTATACTCATATTCTACAGGTGCTAGACCAGGCCCTTGATACAGAGAAGATGATTGAGAAGTATGAGACATTGTCATCAGACCTGCTAACATGGATTGAGCAAACCATTATTGTGCTGAACAACCGCAAGCTTGCTAACTCCCTTACAGGCGTCCAACAGCAACTTCAGGCTTTCAACTCTTACCGTACTGTGGAAAAACCACCTAAGTAATTCAGGCTATTTATGAACAAATGTCTCTTTTTTTGTAGTAAGCAACCAACTGCTAAGCAACCAACTTTTTAACTCTAACTTTTCAGATTCCAGGAGAAAGGCAACTTGGAAGTACTGCTGTTTACCATCCAGAGCAGAATGAGGGCCAACAATCAGAAAGTCTACACACCTAAAGAGGGTGCACTGGTGTCTGATATCAACAAGGTAAGATGCTAAGGTTAATGCTGCATTGATTTAAACTCAGGAAGTATGAATTTCCAACCTCCAGTTAGGGAAGGTGCAATATAATGCCACTTGAAGTCAGATTTTGAACATGACCCTATATCTGAAACTATATCTGCAAAACAGTCTTTGCCTTTTTATCTTCTAAACTTTGAACAATAGAATATGGTGGTTATCTGGTGAGATCAAGTAGAAATATCCCATAACTAACTTTAAATGGGGGGCACAATAAGCACAGTTATATCAATAAATTCATGAGAAACATTGTTATGAACCACACCAGTTAGTCCCAACCACT